CCCCAAAACCCCAAAACCCCAAAACCCCAAAACCCCATCCGAGATAATTTTAATTGAAAATTATTTCATCGTTAGGAGAAGACATGGATAAAGATAATCAGAGAAGGAAAAGCAGCACTCAATCAAAACCCAGGAACAGTATCGAGGTAGAGAGAGGTTTAGATTTTGGACCTTGACTTTAGGGATTTTGGTAATTAGTGTTTAGGGCAGGGATAATCAAGAAAGTTATAAAACAATTCAGAATAATCAAGCTCCAAGAATGTCAATCGATCAAGACTCACGTAAGAACTTTATAAATATATTGTTGTTTAACTAGTTATACCCCTTATTTGGGCCAATTCCTTATCCTTGTGTATAACTCTGTATTTTAGAAGATAAATCAGACGATGACTTATCAGAAGTGCTAGAGACACCAAAGGAGACATTCAAATCAATGTCTCATCTTCCTCTTCATGAGCAGCTTAAAAGAGTGAAAGAAGATGAATGGAAGAATATTCCTAAAGTCATAAAACAGACCTTTAGGATCTTAATAGACTTTACGCTAGAAGAGAAGGAGAGTGATATGGCATTTAAGAAATAAAACTCTGAGCTCTATGGAAAGGTAAGCCTTGGATAACATACTTAGAAATATGAATATAAGTAACAGACAGTTCAAGCAATCAGATGAAAAATAACAAGCAGTTTAAGCTTGCATTGGACACCAGGTTTAAAGAGATAGAGTCTAAAGGCAATGCCTCAAGCAAGGCGCTTAAAGACGCTATTAATAACTTAATGGCATCTTTTGAGAATGATGTCCAAACGTGCATGCAGAGTAACAATGCTACCAGTTCTTCCCTCCAGGCACTTAAGGGAGATCTAGAGGAGACGAAGAAAGAAAATGAGAAGAGAAACATTGCCTTATTGGATAAGATCACTGAAATAGGTATCTCTAATGGTAAATTATAATAGATCACTACGAAGAACTTAACTCCAAACTCCTCGAACTACAAGACTCCCTTCTCAAAAACGAAGAATCCCTTAATTCCAGCATCACCACTCAAAGAGTAACCTCCCCGCCCTAATCCCTTTAGAAGCTCAATTCCGACCTCCAAAAATGTACGCTCCCTATTTCCACTTGAAAATTTTCTAATCTTCCTCTTCCTAGTCACTTAGTTCTAAACTATATCTAAATTATTGCATAAACCACTTGTCATTAATAGCCAATTGCTTAGAATCTCACTGAAATATACTGCAGTGAGACTCCAGATTTATTTAATGGGCAGAATGTACTAACAACTCTGGTCTATATCTATACAAATTTACTCCTGTGTTCTTCTAGCCTGCATGGAAAAGATACATAAGGAAATAGCAGCAGTGAAGGAAGAGAATAAAAACACTGCAGAGAAGACTTCAGCTTTAAGAGCTGATGTCAGTAAAATGACTGAGGAGTTGAAGACCAGGATGGATATGTTGAGAGGGAAAAGTGTGCAAGATATTGGTAGTGTTAGGAAGAAACTTGAGGGTCAGATTAAGACACTGGAGGGGCTATGTGGAGACTTGAAGTCTGAAAATTTGGGTGAGAAGATTAGAGCTTTAGAGGATTTGTTTTCACAGCACAAAGCTGATACACTAAAAAAGTTTGATGGTGTAGATGATCATTTTACACATCTCAATGATGTATTGACTAAAATTGAAAACTTTGATTCGACAGCTGATAAGCTGAAAAATCTTGAAGAAAATTTAGATGCTCAGTTAGGAAGCAGGATAGATAGCAAGCTTACTGAGACTAAGAGTGAGCTTGAGGAAAAGATTAATGAAGTGGATCAAAAGCTCAATAATTTCATAGATGAATACAACGAGGCTGCTGAATGTCCCAGAGATAGTCCCTACCAGACCTCTTCTCAAGGAGATTCTAGGAAGAGAGTCAAATCTGCTGTTAAAAGAGTCAATCAAGGTAAATAAACTTGAAGAAATGCGAAAATGGCTAGAATACCAAAGGAGATACACAGCTGAGGAGATTAAAAAGAGAACTGATGAATTCAAGGAGCAACAGGAGGTCATGTTCCCTAAAGTAAACACAAGTATAGAAATTTCTGGATCAAAATCTGATGCTATGCGCAAGCATTACCAAAATATCACTCATCCCTATCAATCTACAGTAGATGATCTTATTAAATCAAATTTGGAGCAAGATCAAGCTGAAAGTTACAATTTTAGGCCAGCTAGTTCAAATGAGGTGAGAAAGAATCTTAAATCCAGACCATTGACTCTCATAGAGTTTGATGATCTTGATAAAATATCTGTTCATAAGAGAAGATAAAATTATATAAGATTCAATGATAAATCACCTGCAAGGGGTTTTGGGGTTTTGGGGTTTTGGGGTTTTGGGGTTTTGGGG